TGATTTGAATCAGAGATAGTAGGAACTGCAGATGCTGGAGAATCCGAGACAACAAGGTGCAGGGCTGGATGGACACAGCAGCCCTGCACCTTGTTGTCTCGGGTGCTGATTTGAGTTGACTCTGTTTAAGATGCTCACTAGGCCTGTTCCTGAACTAGGAGTCTACTATGAGGTGACTGAAGGAGAAAACCTTGCCAGATGTAAGCAGAAATCCCAAGAAATTTCAACTATTATGAAAATCTTCAAAACAGTATTCAGGCTAAGTTGCTAAGTATCTGATGTTAATTTTGGGCTGTAAGTCAAGTGACTGTGGATGAAATTTGAGTTAAAATGTGCAGTTTAGAAAGTAAGTAACTGTGTTCATTGCATCCTGAATATCTTTAATATAATTGATATTCAAATTAATATAGTTTTAAATATTCATGCTCTTTGATTACTGTTTCATAAAATTATTTTGATTTATGCCATGAACCTTGTAGCTGCAATCTTATAGTAAAAATATCATCTTTTGAATTCTAAAAAAAAGACACATCTGACCTCTATTGACATCATAACATTCTACTAGACACTACAAGATGCATCTCCTCTAGGACCTCCGATCTTTGACCTCAGCAGTTGTTTCGTAAAACTGTCAGATACTTGATAACTTGCATCAGTCCATTTGATCTGGGAGATTTCCTTTTGTTTTCTAACATATGTTTCATGATAGTTAAGTTAATCCTTAAATCTTTCTTTCCCTTATACCTTTTGCTCAGTGAATGTTATATTACAAGGAACAATTATCAATGCAACATTCAAAGACAAAATGTTTTCAGAATATTCCTTACATAGCGTTTCCCAAACATATTTGACAAATTTCCAAGGATTCCGCAAGAGCCAATGTTTTTCTGCTTAAAATACTTTTAATAACCCTTGTAGTTTCTCAACATCCCTAGCTGGACCACAACATTTATTATTTACATCCATCAAAAATATATGAAACTAGCTGCATTTAAATACCTGTTAGGAAGATTGGCTTAAGAAGCATCATTAGAAATAATAAATTTCATGCTTGTTGTGTCACAGGTTCACAGCATGTAGATACCACTAACAAGCCTAGTATTGATTTCCCATCCCTAATGACATGTGTCTCGAACTCAATTTTGGTTACGTGCAACAATTAAATCCATTTACTTTCCAGCAGAAATCAGCAGACAGTAACCTAAGTGGAAGTTAAGATTAATTGAATACTATTGCAGCCCCTATACAAACTGAAATAAAACACTCAGCACAAACCAGAGATCAATGCCACATCATGTGGTGCACTAAGATCATAGAGAAGGCTCTATCGCCAGGTGGGAGGATGTTCTGGGACAAAAGTTGTGGCTTTAGACCTCATTTGAAACTCAAGCGTGAGGGGTGGAAGTTTGACAGCGATACTTCTGATTAGTCAACATAGCTTTCACCTAAGACAACCATTTCGGGAGGTTTCCACAGATCTCCCTCCAAATTGTTGGCACTAAACGTGATGATCTCGTAGAAATTTCTTCCCATTACCTCGATTTCCACTTCAGCGCAGTAGCAAAACTGTCAAAGGTGTTAAAAGAATGAAAACTAGTTGGTGAGTTAGAAACTAAGACACATACTTTTTCGTGTAAAGAGAGTTTATTGGCTTGGTTAGTCTTACAACTCTCATCCAACAACACCAAGGTAGAGCACTATTTATAGATATTTCTTTGTCAACATGTTCAGAAATGTTGTTATACACCTCTAGAGCAAATGGGACTTGAACCTGGGTCTCCTGACTCAGAAGTAGGGACTTTACCACTGTGCCACAAGAGCCCCCAAAATTATTTATATGTGCTCAAAGACAATTAATATCCACAACCCTGCTTCATTTAACCTGAACAATAATATTAATCTCTGCCTATCCATCATTCCTCATAGCACAGACCCTCCAGCCCGGGCAGCATCCTGGTAAATCTCTTTTGTTAAATTTCCTCCTTCAAATTTTCCACCTTTCTCCCCTTACTTCAAATCTTAAGAAGACACAAACAAAAGGTGACATCTTTCAGATGAGGTGCAAAATCAAGGTTTCTTCTTTAGCACCAGAGTCATGCAAGTAGTAAGAACTGCTGATGCTGGAGTCTGAGATAACAAGGTATAGAGCTGGATGAACACAGCAGGCCAGGCAGCATCAGAGGAGCAGGAAAGCTGACATTTCGGGTCGGGACCCTTCTTCAGAAATGGGGGAGGGGAAGGCAGCTCTGAAATAAATAGAGGGGGGAGCGGTGATAGCAGGCAGATAGTGGAGCGGATAGGTGGGAGAGAAGACGGACTGGTCAAGGAGGCGGGGATGAGAGGGGAGCACTGGTCTTGGAATGAGGTCGGGGTTGGGGAGATTTTGAAGCTTGTAAATGGAGTCATGGAGATGTCCTGGTCATAATTTATCACTAATGACAATGACTGAAAATAGATTAACTGTTTATTTATCTTTTTGCTGCTTGTAAAAACTTGGTAAGAAAATGTGCAAATATGCTGCCAACATGAAACTATGATCAAGCCTTAAGCTCTGGAATTTATAGACTCATTAGCATTTGTAGTACAGAAGAAGGCCATTCAACCCATCATATCTGTGTTGGTCAACGAAGGGCTCACTACACTAGTCTCATTTTACGTGGATGCAATAGCATTGCAAGTGAATATCTTTTTAAATCTACTGCTTACATGTTACGAGTTTCTGTCTCAACCACCCTTTCAGGCAGTGGGTTCCAAGCTCCTACTACCCTCTTGGTAAAAATATTTCTCCTCAATCTATTCTTAACCTTCTATCTTTTACCTAAAATCTTTGCTGTCTGATTGTTGACTCCTATAGTAATGGGAAAAGTCCTTTCCTATTCCTATGTGCCTCATTATCTTATGAACTTCTATCAGGTTCTTTCTCAACCTTTACTGCTCCAAGTAAACAACCCCAGCCTATCCATCATTCCTCATAGCACAGACCCTCCAGCCCCGGCAGCATCCTGGTAAATCTCTTCTGTTAAATTTCCTCCTTCAAATTTTCCACCTTTCTCCCCTTACTTCAAAGTCTCTTTAAAAACTACATCTTTAACCAAACTTTTAATTATCAGTACTTAAATCTTTTTATGAGATTTGGTGTCAGATTTAGGTATTGAGTCTACCAATACTTTGGAACATTTCACGATATAAAAGATTCCATATAATGTAAGTTTCTATTGCTGCATATTTAAAAAGTAATTTGTTGCCTCTAAATAGTTTTGGGATGCACTGGCAATGTGGAAGCTACTACAGGGGCACAAATTCTTTTAAAATGGCTTGGTGCAATTACCAAAATAGTTGGCAGCGAAGTTATGTAGAGGTTAATCTGTATATCTGTTTTGAATTTTACTTGATATAATTTCAGAACAGCTCACTCCTTTAATGTAGTAAAAGATCTCAACATTTTTCACAGGAATTAAATCAGATAAAACTTACACCACGTCAAAGGAGAAAGAAGTTGTTGCTTATCTAATATATTGAAATTTCTTCTGCAGGACATGGTATCTAAACTGCTGCACGTAGATCCTCATCAAAGGCACACAGCTGCACAGGTCCTTCGACATCGCTGGATAGTGAATCGGGAATTTCTATCACAGAATCAGCTCAGCAGACATGACGCCCATTTAGTCAAGGCAAGTTCCTGTCAATTTGTTTACATATAGGCATGGTTTTTACTTGCGTACCTTCTATACTCACTATTCTGAAGTCCCTGCTGCATAGCTACAGAGAGGTGTTCATACTCAGGAATGAAAGATTCTTTTAGGCCCATTAGCAACTTGTCTCAAAGAACACCAAACAGTGGTCTATACAGTTCTCATGATTATCACTGCAATGAATGGAAGACCCCATTTGTAGCCTCTTGCTGTACTCTGTAAACAGGCTGAAGGAACTCCCCAATTTGAACTCTGAATTGCTTCCAACCTACATCTCAGCATCTTCTCCTCATGATATGGCAGAAATCAGAGAATTGAGACACTGTAGGTATGATAGATACTAAACATTGTGCCAGGCTTATGTGCAGCAGTGTGTTGGCATCACAGCAGCATGGGCACAGTGTGAAATAAGTTTAGCTTGACAATCTGACCTCGACAATATTCAAAGTTGTATTTATGTTCAATTTCCACTTGCACAAAATAGGCAGTGGGACAATCATTTTGCTGTTTGTGAGCAAAAAGTTTAATGTGGCAAAATCATCCAGAAGGAAAAGCAATTACTGAAAAAAAGCAGTTGGAAAGAGTTGGAATATGTAGGGTGGGATAATACGTGCCCCTATTTTCAGCAGGGGATACGTAATACAACCAGTGCAAGTACATCTTCCCATCTATCCTTGAGCTGACCCAATAATAGAGAGTGGCTGATGGGCACTGAAACTGGTAGCCCACCCAGTATATGGAAAACAATAATTAAGGGTCAGTTGAGCTTGTTGAGTCAGGGGAGCGATGGAGCTGCCAGGACTGATGATGTTGGACTAGAAAGAAACTTTCCTCTCAGCCATAACATGGTGGAAACAAGCAACATTACCTCATTCTTCTCACCGCTGACTTTCCTTCTGATTGGGTGAGCAGCACTGACCCCACTCCCACAATTTTCTGTCCACTGACTGTGTGGAACTTCTCAATGCTTTATCCTGTTGGAATTGTCCAGTTCAGCTCAACTTTTCCATTTTCGATTGCTGAAGTGGTCAAGGAAACCAGTGAGTAAGGGAGTTCAGTGTAATCACTGTATTTTAGTACATTGCAACTGATTGATAGATTTGACTACTGTCATCAAACTAAAATTACAGTCAAGGTAAAAGATCATGATTAAAAACTCCCTGCAATAAGTGAAAGTATTTTCCTGGAATCACAGGAAATACAGTTTTCTACACAGGTTAACAGCTCTTGGGTAAGCAAAGGGCTCCCAGCAATATTGGTAGAGTTAGCTTCACCTCCTGGCAGCCACATGTGAGGGAATGACAATGTATGTGGCTGTGTAGTGAGAGTTGCCAAGTAACAGAGGAATTTATTAGGGATAGCCAGTGGTGCTGTAGGTTAACGCTAAAGAATATGGGAAAGCTGCTTTTCTTGGTGTCACCAGAAATTTGAGCTAAGTTATTTCTCAATTTATCTAAATAGAGAATGCAATGGGTGTCATATAATGCTATCAAGGGATAATTGTAATGCTGCTCTGTGCATGAAGCATTGCATAAGTGATTTGTGGATGATCTTGGTTTCATTTTTTAAAAAAATGATATTGTGCTGAATCCCTCTCAAAACCCTGACAGCGAAATACAATATCACCACAAACTAAAACTTGTTTTCCTTTTAACATACCATTCTCTGACTTCAGTCAGACAGTCAAAACTTCCTAAAAGCTAATTTCCTATCTATATTGGCTGTTGACAGCCAAAGGAGGAAGGAATCCCTTTAATTTTCATATAGTCTGTGATTTAGGGGTCCTGTGGCACAGTGGTAGTGTCCCTACCTCTGAGGTAGGACACCTAGTTTCAAGTCTTATCTTGCCCAGACAAAAATGATACAAGTTGACTGGAAAGTATCTATACTATGTGATTTCTTTCAAGATGCTGAAGTCCTGGTTCAGACTTAGAAAGATGATTAGGCCGTTTTTGGTAAGAAAAAAAGTCAAGGAAATATACCATTGGTGAAACAAAAACAAAAATTACTGGAGAAACTCAGCAGTTCTGACAGAGAAAGCAGAGTTACTATTTCAAGTTCAGTGACCCTTTTTCTGAACTGTTCTGTAGAAGGGTAACTGGACGCAAAATATTGACTCTGTTTTCTCTCCACAGAAGCTGTCAGACCTGGTGAATTCCTGCAGCAATTTCTGTTTTTGTGTCAGAATTCTAGCATCCACCGATCTTCATTTTATATCCATTGGTGACTCTTTTGATGAATCTAGTCTTTTAGATTGACAATAGTGGAACACAGCAAAAACTAGCAAAATGTGGGAATTTCTTGCAAATAATTAGGATGCAGTAATAATAATACCACACAAATAAAAATAAAGAGACACATCCTTGGCCCTACAATTTCCCCAATGGAAAATCCAGGAATCATTATATAAATATTGATTGCTTTTATACTTAACCTCATTAATTAAAGTAGTTTCCTAGCAAATAAAAATGCAATCCATGTTTAATTTTGGAAATACAAAGCTGGATTTTCCTCAGACAGCCTGACCGAAGTTGTGGCAGACAATCAGAAATTAACTAACAAGACTAATCATTGGCTTTCCATCTCAGTTGCAATTTCCTCCCTTCTGATTTGGGTACCATTTGTCCCTTCTTTGTCCACTGCATACATAATATGCTGCTGGAGTATTTTGTCGAAATATGCAGCAGGCACGGGGTAAATGCTGCCCACTTCCAGTTTGCTGTATTTCTTTTGTAGTAGCTCAAAGGCCAATTTGAATCAACTTTTAAACATTACGTTGAGCTTTACAATTTTTGTTGTTAAATTTTCTCCTTTGAATGCAGCCAAAAACAATTTTACTAAACAGGGGAAGATTGTGGCATGGCAGTAAAGTCACAGGATTAGTATTCCAGACCTCAGGTTGGTATTGTGAGGATATTGGGCTCAGATCCCACTGCGGCAGAAGATGAAACTTGGATTCAATTTTAAAAAAGGTGGTCTAATTGGTGACTTTATTGTTCGTCATTAAGATGACTCATCTGGTTAACTGATGCCCTTCCGAAAAGGAAATCTGCCATCTTTACCTGGTCTGACCTACATGTGACTCCAGACTCATAACAACATGGTTGATTCAAATTAGGACCAGGCATCAAACGCTGGCCTAGCCAGTGACACCCACATCCCATGAATGAATAAAAGAAATCATTCCAAATGTACATTTTCCCTTAATTACGCTATATCTTAAAATCTAAGGATAGATCAGTTACAGATCCAACTCCTAACCAACATTCACTATCTAGCAATGCTCACTTGTGATTTGTTTTTGTTGTGATGCCCTCTAAGGTCCAATAGCTGCCAACACTCCTTGTCTAGCCTCTCATACCCAGTCACATGGGTGTGGTACAGGAAAGTTTGAATCTAAATAAGAGAAAAGAGACGAGAGAGAATTAAACTATGTTCGGTAGTTAAGCAGTTGGAATGTAGCTTGTAATATCCGCTTCACAGATTTTGTTTTAAATCTTATTGCAGGGTGCAATGGCTGCCACATACTTCGCTTTAAACCGCACACCTCAGGCACCAAGATTAGAACCTGTAATGGCATCAAATCTGGCTCAACGAAGAGGAATGAAAAGATTGACTTCTACGAGACTATAACAACTATTGAACAACAACTCTAGGAAGTTTTTTATTCATTATATGTAAAAATATCTGGTCCTTTCCTGGCCAATGTAAGAGGCCCCAAATGACCCAAAGTATTCAGAGGTTGAGCCTAGTTTCAGGCTTTTACTATTCGGTATTTGAAAAAAATCAAAGGATCATTCACGTTACTTGCAATGCTGTAAAGATAACAGGAGATGAACAAACACCATTTCCTTTTCTTGAATGTGTTACTTTTTTGCCTGATGTTTTAAAAGAACAGACAAATATTGATCGTATAAACTAGGCTTAACCTCTTTCATAAGTGGAAAAGGAGAAATAGACAAGTGCTTTGAGAAAACACTTGTATTTGAAGCTCAAGAAAGGTGGAGCAATGCTGTTACCTCTAATTGTTAAAAAAAAGGGACTAAAACTAAAACATTAGCTTGGAGCAGAGAGTTCTCTACTGAGAATCCTGTTTAAAGGTTTATGGTGGCTAAACTGTTTTTATTTTTCTTTCAGGAGACAGCAATTCTGCTCCAGTGAAATGTTTGTGAATCAACCAGACACCCTCATTGATGTTTTCATTTTCTATAATTACATTTTTTAATGTCCTGTAATAATGTGAAGTTGCAAGAAGCACAATGTATTTTGAGTATGGAAGGATATGAGGCTGCAAGCACTGTTTTCTTTTCGTTGATGGGTACATATGGAATACTGTGATAAGACAATGCAATAGCAACCAAAAGTTGACTAGGTTCTACATAGTTCTGTTTCTAAATGTGGCTTTAACCTGTGGTCTTGTATCATGTGCTTACATTGAAAGAAGTATTATGCCTTAATAGGGCATTTATTAGTGTTAGAATCAGTAATGCTGTGATTCTACTATTAATAATCAAATAAGATAATGGGAAACAATGTTTCTTCTCCCCAGTTTTCTTCCTGCTGTTTCTCACTGGAAGACATTGACCTCCTGCTGCACTACATGATGAGCAGTTAGCTTCTAACACCTCGCTTAAGAAATCATTACTTGCATGTGTGAACCTTGACAGTAATGACGGAAGGGTTTTCACTCATGGGGAACTATTGCTCAGCTTGGTTCTGCCTTTATCCAACAATAAAACTAACAACATTTTATTGAAGTTTTTTTTATCTTCCCCTTAAATCAGGACAATTTGCAAGAAATATCCAAGTAAAAAGAAAAGACTTTTTGAGAGGAGAGGAATGTTCTGATTGGTTGGTAAGTGGACTCTGTTTAGTAGAGGTATTGCTATGGAGGATAGCACCAGTCAACAATGACTGACTGTTAACCATCAAGTATTGTTTATATTTTAAAAACGCAGGTAGGTGGACTCTGATTGTTGAAGGCACAGACCTGAGAAATGATACAGCAAACTGCTGTGCTCTATTTTGCATTAAAGCACATGCAGTTTGTGTACATGTTCTTTCTGTCTGCACAAAAAGAGTCTTGTGTATTAATATATGAAGCTTCCAGTTCATTATGCAATTTTGCCATACCGTGACTGACAATGTGGTGTGGCACCCAATGTCCTGTTCATTGCATACAGAAAGAACATGTACACATACTGTGCCTATTTCAAATAAAATAGGTGACAGTCACCCTCCTGTTTATTTGCTATAGCATGTCTTGACCAGAGTCAAACTACCTTGTTTTAAGCTTGTCAGTCATTATTGAGTGGGCACATTCCATGAGAATTCCTCAACTAATCAGAGTTCACTTGCTAACCAATCAGCAGGCTCTTCTCATACATTTTAAATAGTTTCCTTTACTTTGGTTTTTCTTGCAAATTGTCTTGATGACTGTAAAATAAAAATCTTCAATAAAATGTGACTGTTCTCAGTTATCCTCAAATTCTGTACTACTAGATGACTACTAAAATAAACACCAACACTTTGAGCATGGGTTGTCGATAGTGGTCAGGAAAATCCTGACCAATTTTGCTCTCCTGAATTCACATATACCGAAGTTAAATGTTGAGACCTTACACCAACCTGGCTAAGAGTCACTCACCGAGCAGTCAGATGTATTTTGTCATAAGCAACTCACAGGAAAATATTTGGTACTGTGGAATTGTTGGCATTGTTCTGCACATGAAATCTCAGTTAAAAGTATTCAGTGACAATTTATCAAAAGGACATGAGAGAAATGTTGCTTAAATTGGAGAGAGAGGGAAGGGTGTTGCAAGGTTGGGTCACTGTACTTCATGTACTTCATGCCACTTTAGGGGGAGTAACTTGTGGGCAGCTCCCATCAGAGCTGGCCCATTCATACCTTCCTGGGAAAGGATTTAAATGTGGACAGAAAGAATACTGCAACAGGCATCTTGAGCCTGATAGACTTCCAGAAATGAGTGTCAGACTGTCTTTTATCTTCCCCATTGCAGGGGAGTGTGTATATGAACCCTTCTGATTATTAGGCAACCCAACTTACACTTATTGCCAGGAAGATGGTCTTGTGCTTTGCAATAAGGCACGGTTCGGTAAAATTTCCTTATCTCTCATTTCAAAACCCAGGGCTTTGGGGATATTATTTGTCTCTGTTTCTAGTGTCAAAAGTCACAAGACGTTGGATGTGAAGAAGAAAGTGGCTTTTGAAGTAAATGAGTAAAATTAATTTTTATTTGGAACATGACTAAAGCTTAAGTACATTTCTTCTTCATCTATGTGATATACTGTCGCTGGCTGGACCAGCATTTCTGGTACATTCATTATTACCCTTGAGAGAGTGGTGGTGAGCGCCCTCTAAGCCCTTTAGCGTAGGTAGACCATTAGGAAGGGGGTTAAAAGATTATGATTCAGTGACACTGAAGCAATATATTTCCAAGTCAGGATGATCACTGTCTTGGAGGGGAACTTGCAAATGGTGGTGTACACTCAGGACAGCACAAAGAAGAACTCCGCTAAATAGCAACACAATTACTTGTGAGGAATGTATCACTTGAGAAAATAAATGGGGAGTTTGGACTTCACATTTCACTCTGGATAAGAGACACTGACATCTTCAAACATTGAAACATCCCTCACTAAGATATCTCCCATTGCATTTCTGAGTATAAACACATAGAAGACTTCAAGGACATTTTAATCTCACATTCAGGTTTTGTTATTTAACTGGCTTGCAGAAACATAGGAAACGATGGTGGAACTAGGTTTTTTTTTAAAAAAGTCAACTTTTAATGCTATCCTGGTAGCGGGAAGCAGAGTCATAGAATTCCTTACAGTGTGGAAACAGGCTATTTGGCCCATCAAGTCCACACGACCTCTCCAAACAGCATCTCACCCAGACCCACACCCCTACTTTATTTCTGCAACCTTACATTTACAATGACCAATCCACCTAGCCTGCACATCCCTGGACACTATGGGTAATTTAGCTTGGCTGATCCATCTAATCTGCATATCTTTGGACTGTGGGAGGAAACCAGATCACCTGGAGGAAAGTTATGCAGACATGGATGCAACATGCGAACTCCACACAGTCACCTGAGGCTGAATCAAACCTAGGTCCCTGGCACTGTCAGGCAGCAGTGCTAACCATTGAGCCACTGTGCCATCCAAATGCTTAAAAACTGGGTCTACAAGAATTAGGGGCAATCCCATTCTCCAGTATCCAATGAGGTCAGCAGCAGAACCACAACCAGCTGGTCAGTAGGACTGTGCTGGCAAGCTATGGCGATCTTTAACAATTCCAGAGTCAGCCACTGCATGTGCTGCAGGATTAGCTTGTTCATACGTTGGCTGAGAGCTTGAAGAATGTTTTAGAAAAGCCAATTTGGGAAGTGTGTGTGGGTGATTGTTTAACAAGGACTGAGGTGTTAATATATCAGATGTAAATCATATTATTTCCGCATAATAGTAATGAGTAAGAACATTGTAAAAATAAATCAATTGCCGTCTGTCCAGCACATGCTGTGGTGAATTGGCAACCAGAGTGTCACAATGGCTTGAAACTGCGATGCACTGCAGATGCCAGCTTGCATAATGAACGTAATACCAATTTCACTTACTGAGCAGATTCAGCTCAAAAGGACTGGCAGAACACTTGTGGTGTATTCTATCTATCCTGTCTGCTATACTGGTTCCTTATACACCTGTCATAAAGAAGCACAGTCAAAATTTCTGACCTAAAAAACACAGATAATGCTGTGCATCTCTAACAGCATGTATGGTGAGAGAAACAGAGTTAACCTTTCAGGTCCATGACCGTCTGGGCCGTCAGTTCCACACAACCAGCAGTGACGGCTGTACCGGCCAACATGTTGCAGGGGAGGCTCGCCCTCTGCTGGACTGATTCAGTTAGCACATAAGGCTCATCGTATTGTTTCTGATTATCTCAACAGCTACCAAAATCATCTCAATGTGGGACATAACTAGAATTCATGTTACCATCTGCTCGTCACACTGCAGCCTCTCTGGTGAAGAGGGAAGTTTTTAAAGCATCTTTATGTTATATAATGATGAATATATTAGCTCAAAAGTATTCTCAATATAAGAACAAGGATAATACATCATTATTTCTGACCGAATGCTGCAGCAATTTCAGGTGAGGACAGATGTTTTGTACCATAAAAACTTGCACCATTTGCACCATGTTGTACAAACCTTTTCAGCAGTTGTCAGGGGAAATTATCATCACTATTAATTAGTTAAGAGTGGGTCTAACTAACAGAAGGCACCACTTGCCACAATAAACTTTGGCTCTTTACACTCAGTTGATCCTTGTGGTGCAATTAATTAGTTGAAAGTTCTAAATATATTTTAAAGAAAATTAATGAATCCTCTAGGAGATGGTGAAACTTTTCCTTGCATTATAATTAAGTGCAGTTATATCAAATTGTTCTGTGTTATTTTAATGATCCAGTGGCCCATTTAAAGAGTGAATGACAACAGCACAGGAATTTGGTGAAAAACATCTGTCACTGCACTAAATATACTGTAAAGGAGATGCTCACTCTCTACTGTATTGCTAAAATTGTGAGAACTGCAGCAATGACAAGAGAATTCCATTCGATTTCTTCTCCTCCAATGCATGTAGGGTGTAGATCTGTGGAATTTATTCTCAGTTTACAGTGGTCTGTCTCCCAATCAATATCTCAGTCAGGAAATGTTACAGAGCAACCATTAGGCAAACTTTGCAAGACTCTCCTGTGAAACATTGTACTCAACCAGAGCAGCATTAAGGTTTTAAGAATCACTGAACGTGAAAAATTCTGCCTGCCATGATGAATATTTCCAGCATTTTCTATTTTTAATCATTTCAAGCAATTTCTGTGCCATGACAGCAGATGGCAAATCAATGAGCAATTGAT